TTTTTTTTTTTTTTTTTGCAGAATACCAGTTGTATTAGAAAACCGCAGGTCATCTCAGGGGGGGATGCGCACCCTTTGCACCCTCCCCCTAGATCCGTCCCTGTAAGGCCAACCAATATCTACTACCAATTCCAGTTTCATCCTACGTTTGTGCCGGTTATTCACGGTGTTTTGACTTATTGCTGTATTCGTCCGCAGGTCGTTGTTGTTGTTGTTTTTATTGTTGTTGTTTTTGTTTTAATCTTAAGTACAGAAATGCAACCGTATACATACAGTAGTGATAGTAAGGTACTAAAGGTTACTTTTTATTCTCGGTTTGCACTGTCACGCAATGAAAAATAAAAATGCAAACCATTCAATACAGAAGGACTAGAATCTGGGAAATGAAAAAAGATAAATATACAAAAATCCTTGCCCAGAATCAGGTCTGTGAAATATTTCAAATGCGAGATATTGGGAAAAACGGTTTACCTAAATTTATAAAGCTTTGTACGGAAACTCCACGTTGGTGTCCCTCAGTCAGGAACACCAATATGGCCGCCGGATACTAACAGAAACATCTGTTTTCGAGTTTTCCTACTAATGCGTGAATTCTTCCCTCGAGGAACTCATAAAGATTACATTAATATTTATTCTGAGACAAGGAATGTTTAGATTGCAAAATCTCCCAAAATCGGTAATGTTTTTAACCCACATAAGAGCTTTCCCGGCCGCCAGCTAAATGCTGCGTCACGCAAAAGCCTGGAAATTCAAGCGTCCTCTCTCGCAAAGAACCCTTTCGAACCAAAAATTTGTTCATGTAAACGTGTTTAGGTACCGTAATGCCTCGTGAAAGTAGAAACTCAGAAGAATCGATAGTTTCTTAGTTTGATTTTTGGTTACGTCACGTGCAACCCACGAATAGATATTGTGAAAATGGCAGCGTTAGGTGATCATACCACTGGAAATTTTTATTAAACTGTATCGGACTGTAATACGTGTAAAAAAAATACAGTTTTGATTGAAATGTAGCATTTTGTGTCTGAGTCTTGATTTTATTATATTGAGATGCTTGGAAGACGCATAATTTTCACAGGGTTTGCCTCCATCTTTATACACGCAAGTATAAACACAAATGTAAATAATTATGTTAAATTGAATAGATACACAGACGTAACTATATATTAGATAACTGACCCTCGATTTTTCGCTAATTCTTCTCTCGCCCCTGAGTATGTTGAATTCTTGGAAAGGATATACTACACTGATCCTTCACTCTTCGACCACTAAAAGAGGCGTGCAAAAAGGCATTTAGCTCCCGATTTAGCTATGTTGACAATGCTAATGACCTTACCGGTTAAGACTCTTTCTTCAACCATGAATACTGTGAGGTGACAAAATATTTAAATACAAATATAGATCCGCATTATGTAAATTTTGTTTTCAGCCTGTTTTGCAACCAAAAATATCAGAAGTTTTGAATAACAAATGATGAAAGTGATTTTCTTCATAGACTGTTCACAGTCCCCTATTTTTTCGTGAGATCGTTTAGATACACCGCGTCTTACCGTCACGGCTATCTTAATTTTCAAATGTATCGAGGGGGCGGGCGTCGGGGATTATAACTCGGGGGGGGGGGAGCGAGAAAAATAGAGGGACGCTATTTTTCTCGCTTCCTCCCAAACCGCCCCCGCCCCCTAGGTAGTTTTGACACTCATGCAAGATGGGTAGCCCGTAACGCAAAGCTCTCGATCTCGATGATCTTACGGAAAAATAGAGGACTGTGAACCGTCTATTTTCTTCAGTGAAGTAAGAGGTTTCGATTGTAATAGAGAGGTATTATGTAACAAAATGACGGGAGGGGGGATGCTGTATCATTTGCCAGGTTGACCGTGTGGGTAGGGGCGTACTCAGGGATAACGCTCATTAGAGCCAAAAACTAGCCTGTGTACAGATGTCCGCCTCCCCTCAGAAAAGATCGAGGAGAGAGACTTTTTCTAGGGAAGGATTAGGGGGCGTCTGTAGCTTTAAAAGTGCGTGATATTATACTTAACATGATTTGAAAATAATGTAATGCAGCAATTTCTTTGTTTGCTGTCTGTTAAACATTTTCCAGATCATCACGTTCCTGCCAAGGCAAAAGCTATCTGTAATGTCACTTGGCAATTGCACATTGCGTTATTCGGAAGAGCTGGGAGCCTGGGAATGACATGAAACCTAGTCCGCCGGTGGACACCCCTAGATTTCGTCGGTCGAGATCGGAGTGGCCATATGAACCCCAAAACATGAACAACGATCCGCGTCGTGGAAACGCTATAATTGCCGTTCGGGAAGAGAGGGCCAGGATTGGAGGCGTTAAAGCAGTGAGACAAACATATGTAGCTGCTACAAATGAAGGGTCAGTATAAAATCTTTTTTAACCTCGCTTGCAGGAGGCTTGGGCTAATCATGGTACGGCACGGTTCTTTAGACTACTGAATCAACTCAACATTAACACTTATAAACTAATGGTTTGAAATCGAATTTTGCTTCGCTGGAAATTTTCTCATGGTCATTTTTGGTGGCTGAATTTTTCTGCAAACAAAGCGGTATTAGAAACGTACATTGATCGTAGTGGAAGCCGAATTCTGCAAAAAGGCGGAAGTGACATAAACACAAAACGTTTGCTGCGTATTTGTTATAATATCGAAGGTATACTGTCTCATTTTCATCTTCAAATCTTTCATTTCAAGCTTACATCCAATGAAACATCAATAAAGAAACGTTTGAATAGTAAAATTACAAGAATTCTGAGTACTGTATT